AGGATTAATAAGCATATTTTATTGGATAAAATATTGTAAAGGTCATGTTATTTGTAATACCTCAAGAGGTATAAAAAAGCTTGGTTTTAGACCAAGTGAGAGGAGGATCGTGTTAATAACATTAATAATAATTGAATAAATAATCTTTTTTTTTTTTTTTTTCTTTTCCCCCGTTGTTAATAATTAAATAAACACATTTTACCTTATTACGAATTTTTGCATAGTTAACAGGAAAAGCCATTGTGAATTGTTCCATGGTCCTCTCTGATGATTAGTGGCTGGCCACTAATTATTAGTTAGAAACCCCCCCATTTGATTGTTCTATGCTGCTTGTAGGGATGCCTCAAGTGGTATAGTTGTAAATATTTCTTGTATATATTTTTTTTATTTATCATTTTTAGGCCAGCAGTACTTCTATTAGTACTGTAAAGAGAGATTGCACAATAGAATTTTGAGTAGGCTCTGAGCTGTGTACCATAACAGAGGCCGGAATTTGAGAACCCTGAGCTGTGCGCTGTAACAGGGAGATTTACATATTGGACTTTTATTTTATTTTATCTTATATATTTTATTGGACACAACCTGAGCTGTAATTTAATTTACACGCTTGCAATACCAAATACAAATAATTTCTATTTTCTAAAAATTAATAATAAAAAAAATTTGATCACATAATGGATTGTACACTGTCAGATTGTCAGATCGTTCAACCTTTGGAATCTTTGGAAAAAGAAATAAATATATTAATAAATAATTAATAATAATAAAAATATGATCACATAATAGATTGTACACTGTCAGATCATCAGATTGTTCAACCTTTGCAACCTTTGGAAATATATTAATATAATCACACATACCTTTTAATAATAGCAGTAACATCAGCGCTTGTAATCTTGAAATAATTGTCATCTTCTGGTCAATTGATATGATTTTAATTTTACATATGGGGCCTTTTCCAGTAAAACCAACCTCCAAGGTCATCTGACCAAATTTGGTTTTTTTATATAATATTGATATATAACATATAGACTATAATTGGTGAAAATATTAGACCATGTTTGCTTAATAAAAAAATGGGAATTGTAGGCCGGATACTTTTTTAAAATAAATTTCGTAAAGATCTACACACCCCATTTTTATAAATTAATAATATTATTATATTTTTGCTACAAGTTATAACATTAAATAATAAATAATAAATAATAAAAAATAAATACAACATAAATTAATTAGGATTTGGACAAAGAATATCTTTAAATGGGTCTTCTACATGTTGGCGAATTTTTATATACAAATATTTTTTTCTATCATCTGTCAATGGAGCAACTTCAAGAATATTTAATTGGGCATCAATATTAAAATTATTTTTTAAAAGTTTAAAAGGAATTTTTAAGCCACCAGATTTTTTGGTAACATAAACTTTTCCAATATCATCATTACTATTACTAAAATGAAAATGATGGTATTTTGTTATATTTGGTAAACTTCTAAAATTATCTTTAAATAGTGAATTAAAGTCATACCATTTCCAACCAATACTATTTTTATATCTAATGGATTTATTAATATGCTCTATTGTTGAGTCATTTATAGCTTTTTCAACATGATCAACAGTATTTATGCATCTATTTCTATAAACTTTTTGATTGATCCAAAAAATCCATCACAGATGAATTTAGTATGTCCAGGAATCATAAAATTTATATATATATTTTCATACCAACCCAACATTATTAACCATGACCAAAACCAAAGTGATAAATTATTCTCGTTTTGGCCTGGACAATTATCACATGTCACATATAAATCATTTTCAACATGTTGAGTCTTTTTAAGGAAATCAAAAACTATATTTAAAGTTGTGTTAGCCCCTTTTGATGTTCCTTCTGGCAATTCATCTTCACCTATAGTATAATTTAGTTGATAATTTTTACCTTCATTGGTTTTAGTACATATACCAAAGATATTTATTTTAAAGGAGTTTTAAAATAAATTGAACCAACTTGTTGAGGAGAATATGGTGCAGGAACACTTTGAGCCCAATCATAGCAGATATGAGTTGATGTTACATTTTTCAATGATTTTATTATAATGTTGTCTTTCACAATTTGCAGCTGCAAGATGTTCATCAGATTTGAATTTTATTTCAACAATTGCATCATTATTTGATTTTTTTTTTCCAATCTAAAAGCTTCACAAGTCTCACATAGATCATTTGATGCCTCTAAAAATTTAATATGTGGTGTTAGTTGATTCCAAAGTCTCCAAAAAGTTGTAAATTTTATAATTTGTACAGATGTATTAACAAGACTATCCTCAAAGCATTTTTCATACTCATGAAAAACTGAACTATAACTATTTTCAGTTCCTAGATAAATATATGGATCTGAATTGTCACGAAGTCTCATTGGAGATGGTAATCCATGTATATCAGCATAGTTTAGTATAAAATTTTTCACACTTTCTGCTACAGTGAACCCTCCCTAAGTGCACCCTCCCTAAATGCATGCACTATGTATACCCTCCATAAATGCATGGCCCATCTCATCCCCAAGCTTATAGAGAGCTTATAAAATCACCCTCCATAAATGCACACCCTCCATAAATGCATGCTCACAAGAAATAGCACTATGTTCCCAAGGGGGGTGCACTTATAGAGGGTTCACTGTACTTCAAAATCAACAAATGCCCATGACTTAAGTTCAGGAATTTTTTTCATATTACCATGCTGACAATCTTCTAAACCATTTGTTCTTAAATGTTTTTGTAAGGTTTTCAACATATTTATTTTAATATCACATAATTTTAAAAATACAGGTTGACAGATTTGTATATTTTCATTATATTTATATTTATAATAATGTTTATCAATATCTTCTTCACTGCCATTTCTTTCAAATTGAAAAACCATCAATTGTGTTTTAATAGAAAGATCTTTTTCTTTTTTATCTAAGCTTTTAAATTCAAAATACCTTTCAAAAAAGTTTTTGAAACCTATTTTTTCAAGGCAGCTTTGTGAATCATTTTTCTCACATTTACAAGGAGAACTTTGGAAGAATGATTTTAAATCATCAATTACATCAATTACTAAATCATTTTTTTCATAATCTTTGAATTCTTCTAACTCTAATGAATTTTCTGATGTTGAATTAATTACAGACATGTTTTAATAAAATTTTTTGAAGGTTCAATAAATTAAGATATCTTTAAAATAGAATTTATTTATGAAAACTTATTCAATGATTTTTTATTTCAAAAACAAGAAAAAATTCACATTATTTATTTTATAGAAATTTAAAAATAATCTTAGCTGTTATTATTAATAATATTAATCTTATATAAAAATTTCAATTGTTAAAGATATTTGGGAATTTTATTGAATCTAAAAATACCAGTGGCTGGTATGGTTTATATTCCCAAAATGCCAAATAGCTTAGTATCCAAAAATGACAATGGCTCATTGTGGTTATAACCATATAAAATTTGTTATAACCAAAAGCATCAATAAAATCTAATTGTAAAGCAAAATGATTTCCAAAAATGGTAATTGAATTCCAAAAATATAAATATAGAAATGAAATGAATTTATTCATACAGTAAAAAAATTTTCTTTTCTTTGCTGAAATAATATAATAATGATAATAATAACATTCGTAAATATCTCCTTGAATAATTTGTGATAAATAACGATCAAAATTTTTAGGGGGCAAATT